GCTTGAGCCCAGGAGTTGGAGGTTGCTGTGAGCGTGATGCCATGGCACTCTACCCAGGGGGATAGCTTGAGGCTCCGTCTCAAAAAAAAAAAAAAGAAGAAAGAAAGTAACAAACCAAAAGCAAAATCCAAGAAATTTAAAATTAAAATTTTTAGGAGTATTCTTCCCTTTAATAAAATATATCTGCTTTGAAAATCTTTTTGGTAAAACCCAAGGTTTCTTACTATTTGAAAGTCATTGCTTAAAGCAGTAAATTAAAAGGACCATTTTGAGTGTTGTTTTTGTTTTTTAAGGCAAACTAACAGCTGTGGATACCATTTGTGATAGTGTTGTAGGTTTTTGAGTTACTAGTCATCCATTGTTAACTTTCTAAAATTTTTATGAGTTGGAATTTTAAGAGATTAGCTTGAACTGTGTTGCTTTCTATTTTACAGGACGGCCCCCAGGTCCCGAAATGGAATACTGCACTGACAGAGAGTCATACTCATTAGCTGCTGGCTTGGCCCTAGGCATGGTTTGCTTGGGGGTAAGAATAGTCCTTCCCATGCTTCAATTATGCCTCCCTGTTGAGACAAATAATCTTGACACTTAAACCTGATTATCACTCTGCTTCCTATGACTTAACTTGATTCTCAATTTTTTTCTCTTTCTGGATATTTTTCATCATTCCAGATGTGTGAATAGAGAGAAATTGCAACAAAGGGGGGGGGGGCTTTAAGATTTCTATCCCCCTTACTTAGATATGTGTTCATGAGTAAACTAAGGAAGTGGAGTTTCTTTTTTTCTTTCTTTTTTTTTGAGACAGAGTCTTACTATGTTGCCCTTGATAGAATACCATGGCATCACAGCTAACAGCAACCTCAAATTCTTGGGCCTAAGAGATTCTCTTGCCTCAGCCTTCAGCCTCCCAAGTATCTGGGACTACAGGTGCCCGCCACAACACCCAGCTGTTTTTTTTTGTCATTGTTTTTGGCAGGCCTGGGTCCGCTTCAAACCCACCAGTCCCGGTGTGGCTAACCCCCAAGCTATGGACACTGAACCAAGGAATGGAGTTTCTTGAAAGAGGTTCAAGACATAAGATGAAGTTACAGCCCACTCTGATAGAAGACAGAAAATAGTGAAAATGTATATGATGGGGAGACTTCAGAATATGTAGTGGTTGCTGGAAACAAACCCTAAACCTCTTTGGCCACTCTGGTGTTTACTGTGTATTCCAGAATGTTGCCACAGTAGCATTTGCTTTGTAACAAAAGGCACTTTCAGGTTGACCCATCTTTATCTTCATCTAAGAGATGTGTAGAGAATTAACTAGAAATATTTTATTAATTGACTTTCACTTGGAATATGGTTCTCCTGAAGAATTACCAATATGTTATGATCAAGCTAAATGATGTAGAGAAAGTTATAACGTAAGGAGCTTTTTTATGTGTATCCTAAAAATCCACCCTGTGTTTGATTGTGTGTTGACTTCACATTGGGTATATCAGCTAAAGAGGCACATGGGGTACAATGGAAAATCATCATACTGGCATTGGGGCCTGAATTCTGGTCCTGACTGGGGACTACATTATCAACTGTTGACTAAACAGCTGAATGGACAGTTGCTTTGTTTTGCATCTACTCCTGCTGCTTATTAGCTATGTAACCTTAGACTTAATCCCCTGTGCCTCACTTATCAATAAAAGGAGGTTCTTACTAATAGCTATTTGATGAAGTTGTTAACTCAAGTTAAACACACCAGCATTCAGTAAGTTATTTTTACCGTAGTTATTGTTGCTGGAAAAGTTAATAGTCACAATAATGAAAGTATTCAGGTATTCACAGTTCAGATTTCAATTACATGGGTAATATTTTCTAATTAATATCTAATTAATAGATTAAGTGTAATTTATCTATTATAAAGTCTTAATTTTATGAAATAAAAATACTAAATCTTGGGTGGCACCTGTGGCTCAAGGAGTAGGGCACTGGCCCCATACTTAAACCTGGCCCCTGCCAAAAACTGTAAAAAAAAAAAAAAATAGGTGGCGGCATATGGCTCAAAGGAGTAGGGTGCCACTCCATATGCTGGAGGTGGCAGGTTCAAATCCAGCCCCGGCCAAAAAACTGCAAAAAAAAAAACACACTAAATCTTGAACATAAGCATATTATGAGTTTTATGAGATTAATTACTAATAGTTTGAGTATTAATGAGTATTAACTCATGATTAATGTTTAATTGGAAAAAAAAAAACCCAAACCCCAAATACCCTGCTTTGACATTAGTTTCTTCCTTTATTAGTCATGTGGTATATGGATCTTCTTCCATAAGATTTCTTCTCTTATGTCTGTTATTTTACAGCATGGCAGTAATTTGATAGGCATGTCTGATCTCAATGTTCCTGAGCAACTTTATCAGTACATGGTTGGAGGACATAGGCGCTTTCAAATAGGGATGCACAGGGAGAAACATAAATCTCCAAGTTATCAAATCAAAGTAAGTACAAGTCAAAGGAACAGTTCAAAATTCTGGAAGTTAAGATGTTAATTTGAAAATACTAGTTTTCATACTGACATTCTAAAATATGTTAATTTTAAGCATAGGCTAGTATTCAGAAAAATTTTAGAATAATTTAGAACTCTTTTAAATGAATAACCTATTCTTTCAACAGGAAGGAGATACCATTAATGTGGATGTGACTTGTCCAGGTGCAACGCTAGCTTTGGCTATGATCTACTTAAAAACTAATAACAGGTATTGTATGAGTTTTATTATGACAGTGTGATATCTTTTCCGACCATAGTAGTAAAATTATCTTAAGTTTATTTCCTTTTTGTGAGATCAACCATTCATTCTCTCAACTACTATAAGTTACACAAGTTTTATTTAGAAATAATACATTTTGGCATTTTATTTTTTATTTTTTTTACATATTTTTATTTAATTTTTTGAGACAAGAGTCTCACTTTGTCACCCTCAGTAGAGTGCCTTGGCATCATATCTCACAGCAACCTCTAACTCTTGGGCTCAAGTGATTCTCTTGCTTCATCTCCCGAGCAGCTGTGACTACAGGCACCCGCCACAATGCCTGCCTATTTTTACAGATGCTCTAGCTTAGGATGGTTTCGAACTCATGAGCTCAGGTGTTCTGCCCACCTTAGTCTCCCAAAGTGCTCAGAGTGAGCCACTGCGCCACTCTACATTTTGCCGTGTTAGTGCTACTTGGCAATATTTCCAATTTTGATTTCATTTCTGTTTCATAGTTGTCAGTGACATGCCAGCAATGCCCAAGTTTTGTTTCATTGATAGCATTGTGAGGACTTTTTAAGCCAGAAATGCTTAGGATTCTTCAGTTCTTGGTTTCTGTTTATGAAAATTGTTTCTGCCTACTTCAAGAGTTTTTCTCAGTGCTCATTTCTGCAACACATACACTAAAATTGAAACGATAGAGAGGTTAACATGGCCCCTGCACGTTAATGACATGCAAGTTCATGAGGCCTTTTATATTTTCAGCCAGCACCTTGTATCTCAAGGTGGGATTTCAAAGCCTCAGATCAAGAACAAACTCCCCTTTCCTTTTAGCCTTCCCAATTCAGACAGTTCTCTGTACTTATGTGAAAAAACAAAAATGTTCAAGCCCCAAACATTAATGATGCTGATAAGAAGTAAAAATTTGTGCCATAATGGAAAATATCTAAATGTCTAAACCCCTCCCCTCCAAAAAAAGAGCTTTCCTAGTGACCAAATCTTCTACCTTCCCAACTCCTTATAGTTAGTGCTAACATTTGAAAGTCGACTTTTGGTGTCTATCCTTAACATTTTACGTAAAAGTAAGTTAGAGACATTGTACTACGTTTTAAGTCTTGTAACGTAAAAAGTATTTGAAAAATTCAGGTTTTTCAGTGTTCAGGTTTCTTCCCTTAGAAAAAGTGAAAATGTGCAGAATTAAAACAAAGTGGTTAAAAATGGATGTTTTATTCATGTACTATTGGATGAATGTGTATGGCGGTGCTTTCCTGGTACTTTGGGTATTTCACTGAACAAAATGAAACAAAATATCTGCCCTCCTAGAGCTTATGTTAGTGAGATGGATGTACAACATACAGGATGTCTATGAAGTTTACATGCAATTTGAAACAGACAACTATTTTAAATTGCACATGAACTTTATGGACATCCTATATTAGGGAGCATAATACATATTTTTGTTAGAGGGTGTGAAATATTATAGAAAAATATAGAGCAGTGGTGGAGTGAGGAAAAATGTTTTGAAATAAACCCTGAGATTGCTGATTATCTTGTCCTCTACTTGAGCAGTAACCCTCACTGATATCCTTCACCAACAGATCCATTGCAGATTGGCTTCGAGCTCCTGATACCATGTATTTGCTGGACTTTGTGAAACCAGAATTTCTTTTGCTTAGGGTATGCTACTTTCTCATTTTTAATCTCTGTTAATAAATTTAACTTACATAATACATACAGGGTATGACATTTTTTTGAAAATGTCATTTTAAGAAAACCTTTTATTTATTCTTTATTTTATTTTTTTGAGACAGAGTCTCACTTTGTTACCCTTAATAGGGTTCTGTGGCATCATAGCTCACAGCAATCTCAAACTCTTGGGCTTAAGCAATTCTCTTGCCTCAGCTTCCCAAGTAGCTGGGACAACAGGTACCTGCCATGATGCCAGGCTATTTATTGTTATTTATTTATTTATTTTTTATTATGGAAGAAATGTTTATTTTTTAACATTTTTAAAAATTAAATCATAGTTGTGTACATTAATGCAATCATGGGGTACAGTGTGCTGGTTTTATATACAATCTGAAATATTTTGATCAAACTGCTCAGGCTATTTTTTTGTTGTAGTTGTCATTGTTTAGCAGACCTGGGCTGGGTTTGAACTCACCAGCCCTGGTGAATGTGGCTGGCGCCCTAACCACTGACCTACAAGCGCCTAGCCAAAACCTTTTACTTCTAAACCATTATGTGTATCTATTTGGCAGCATTCTTTTGGGAAATTCCCCAAATATAACTTGAGCAATTCAAAGAAAGGTAATCACATTGATACCCAATTCATGGAATGACATTTCATCTTTTCACATTATTATTAAAAACTTTTTTTTTTCTTTTTTTGAGACAGAGCCTCAAGCTATCCCCCTGGGTAGAGTGCCGTGGCCTCACAGCTCACAGCAGCCTCCAACTCCTGGGCTCAAGCGAGTCTCCTGCCTTAGCCTCCCAAGTAGCTGGGACCACAGGCGCTTGCCACAACGCCCGGCCATTTTTTTGGTTGTAGCCATCATTGTTGTTTTGGCGGGCCTGGCCTGGATTCGAACCCGCCACCTTAGGTGTACGTCGCTGGCGCCTTAGCCACTTGAGCCACAGGCGCCGAGCCTATTAAAAACTTTCTAAAAAGCAACAAATGAATAGGAGATTAGTACTACTTTATTTTACATTTTTGAATTGCTATAAAGGATGTAGTAACTGTTCAGGTTATATTTAATGACAATAACAGTTTGACATAATTGCCTAAAAATTTCCTTCTTTTTTTTTTTAATGTTTACACTTAGCATATGGAAGCATTTAAATTATGATATAAACAGAGTGGCCAGGCGTGGTGGCTCACACCCGTAATCCCAGCACTTGGGAGGCTAAGGCGGGTAGATTGCCTGAACTCACAGGTTCGAGACTAGCCTGAGCCACAGCGAGACCCTGTCCTTAAAAAAAAAAAAAAAAAAGATGTATTTTTCTTTTGTGTTTTGTTTTTTTATAAAGCATATTTTAAAAGTCCTCTCCTACCTCTCTAAACTTCATGATCAACTTAATTTTAGTTTTTTTTTGTTAAAAAAAAAAATTTTTTTTTTAACAGTCTCTCTCTGTTGCCCTGGGTAGAGTACCTTGGCATCATAGCTCACAGCAACCTGAAACTCTTGAGCTCAAGTGAGCAATCTTGCCTTAGCCTCCAAGTACCTGGGACTACAGGCACCCACCACAATGCCCAGCTAGTTTTTCTATTTTTAGTAGAGATGGGGTCTCACTCTTGTTCAGGCTGGTCTTGAACTTGTGAGCTTAAGCAATCTACCCACTTCAGCCTCACAGAATGCTAGGGTTATAGACAAGAGCCACTGGGCCTGGCCCAGGCTAAGTTTTGATGTTCAATAGATTAAGTATATTAAATGCATTTTTGACTTAATGATATTTTGAACTTAATGATGGGCTTATTGGGGCATAACCCCATCGGAAGTTGGATCATTTGTATATATTTAACAAATTTTTCAAAATTGTTATCACTGGGCCAGGCATGGCAGCTTATGCTTTGTAATTCTAGTACTTTGGGAGGCTGGAGTGGCAGGATTGCTTGAGCTGAGAAATTCAAGATTATAGTCAGTTACGATTGTGTCACTGCACAATCATGGCTCACTTGGGTGACAGTGAGAGAGCAAGACCCTGTCTCTAAAAAAGAAAACAAAAAAACCAAAATTGTCAGCAGCTAGGAACTGATTTTTAAATTGTTCTTTTTTTATTATTGTAATATGTATGAATTTTGGACTGCTCTTATTAATTTTATGTGTATTGCATTTTTAAGACACTTGCTCGATGCCTGATTTTGTGGGATGATATTTTACCAAATTCCAAGTGGGTTGACAGCAATGTTCCTCAAGTAAGTATATATAATAAATATTATTATATCTTTAATAGCATAAAATTACAATTTCTTATGAGATCTTCCAAAATATTATAAAATATTTTTTCTTAAGAAGGCAACATTGACCACTAGGGGATCTCTTGGAGCTATACAAAATTTCATTTTAAGGTTGTATAGTGATTTTAGACCACAGCTTTCCCTTCTGGCTAGGTCTCTAGAATTTACAGTTTTTAAAAATTATGTATACCAAAGTACTCTAAAAATTTTTTTTTCCCTCTGGTCCCAAGAATGGCCAGAAGGATATTAAGATCACCAAGAATAATTTAGAGGTTGCCAAGGACTTGTTTAAAAGTATTTTCAAGTCCAACTGAGAACTCAGACATTTAGAAAAAAAAAATAATAAAAATGTATTTTTGGCATTTCTATCCTAGTCAAGTACACATTTATCTGAGATGCCATTTAACTTTATGAGAATTTTAGATTTCTTTTAATTACTTCATAGCATATTTATTTAGTAAGCCATGTATGTTAGTTAAAATAAACAGACTACTTTGTAAAAAACTCAATACCAAATATTTTAAGTCGGCTGTTGCCCTTAGTGAACTGTCCCAAGTCTAGTGGTCTCAGTGTTTTGTTTGTTTAAAAAGTAAACCTATTTATCCTTGAGAATACTACATGGATTGTTTTCTCCAATATTTTGAGAAGAAAAATCTCAAAATGTAGACAGGTTGAAAGAACTTTTTATGAACACTCATCGCCAATAGAGTCTACCATTAAATTGTTACTGTGTAAATGTTTTTAATCACGTATCTATTCACTTATTGATTTTTCTGTCTAAACCATCAGTTTTGGATGAATTTCAAAGTTAGTTGCAGACAGAAATCACTTCTTAATATCACAGCATCTATATCATTAACTAGAATTCAGTATTTATTTTACATTTTTTCTTTTTATAGTAACTTTTATGTATCATGAAATTTGATTTGACTATGCATACACCTAACCCCAAGGCAATCACTATATATTTTGTTTTTAACTTAAAATATATTAGTTTTTCTAATATAGAACTTTATACAAATAGAGTCAAGTACAACATATATGCCCTTTGGTATAAGACTTCTTTCACTCACTGTGGTTTTGAGATATTATTGAATATATCAGTAGTTTGTTCTTTTTATTATTATGTAGTACAGGTTTAGTACCCCTTGTCTGAAATGCTTGGGACCAGAAGTACTTAGGATTTTTTCAGATTTTGGAATATTTGCATTATGTTCACTAGTTGAGCATCCTTAATCTCAAACTCTGAAATCTAAAATGCTCTAATTTCTTTTGAGCATCATTTTGGCATACAAAATGTTTCAGATTTTAGAGCATTTTGGATTTTGGGGTTAGAGTTCCTCAATCTGTATTTTCTAATTCTAATTATATTAGGTAGGGTTGGAATTATTGAAGCATGAGGTAGATGGAAAGTTTAGTTTTATATGTTGTATAACCTTTTCCCAAAGAGGCTACAGCATTTTATAGTCTGACCAACAGTATTTGAGAATTCTGGCTGAGAAATCTCACCAATATTTGGTGATATAAATCTTTAAACTTTTAGTGCTACTGATATATGATGATTTCTCATTGTGGTTTCAATTTGTATTTCTCTGATGGTTAATGAAGTTGAGAACTTTTTCTTTGACATAATTAGTTCCTGTATATCTTTATTGGTGAAGATATCTTTTCAAGTATTCTGCTTATTTAAAAAACTTGAATTGCTTATCTTTTGATTATTGAGTTGTTAGAATTTTTTTATATATTCTAGAAACCTTTTCTTTGTCAGAGGTAAGTTTTGCAACTATCCCTTCCAGTATATGACT